GTTTGGATCACTGTCTCTGATTCAATTCAGCTAAATCTGAATCTGAAGATTCAATGCTGATTCAGAGAATCAGCAATTTGGACACAGACACAGCTTTAACTGTTTTTTCTACATGCCTTGAGGTACCAGCGTGGCTTGTAATCACTGCAATGCTGGGGTGCATGGAGCATCCCACAGGAGCAAGGGGGCGGGGGCTCCACATGCTTGGCGGTAAACTCAGAAGTGGACCAGAAGTACTTCCAGTTCACTTCTGGGTCTGCCAGGGAGCATGCTGGGGGGCCCCTGACCTGCCCCCAAGCTGGAGGCGGGGTGCAGGGGATCCCCTGAGCACTCCCCAGCAGATCTGGAAGTGGTCCACTTCTGGGTCTGCTGCTGAGTGCACTGGGGAGCCCCCTGCATTCCTGTGGGATGCTCCATGGGCCCCAGCATCACAGCACTCACAAGCCACCTGCTACCTAGAGGTATGGAGAAAAAACATTTAAAGCTGTGTCTATGTCCGAATCGCCAAATCTTTCTGAACCTCTCTGAATTGATTCGGAGGCTTCCGATTCGATTCAGAGAGATTAAAGTGTTCTCTGATTTGATTTGGATTCGGAGATTTGGCCACCGAATCAGGCCGAATCTCCGCTGAATCGAATCAGGAACCGAAGCTTCGCACAGCCCTACTAATTAGCTCTGCAGTAAATGTGTCAGCATCTACACGTGCACCCCTATTAGGGTGCAGTAAACTAAACTCAGTCTAAGTACTACCCTGCTGTGGAGTTTTTTCATGCACAGCAACAAACATGTAGACACTGCCCAGCTGGTTGGGGCATGAGGGTGCTTCTGTGTAGGGGCTGCCTGCCCACCTACCCCACATTGAAACACTCTTATGCCCCAGACAGCCCCTCCACAGCACAGAGTTGGGTCGGAGCAGCCCCAAGCTAGCAGGCTGACCCTCCCAGGCTCCATGCCAGCCGAGGCTGCTCCCACCCAGCTCAACGTGCTGCAGTTTGGGCACATGTGTAAATGGCATGCCTGGGAGCTTCCCAGGAGCAATAAATTCCAGAACAGTAAGCTCTGGAGTTTATTGCTGCACATTAATGGCACGTGTAGATTTGTATTAAAGTAGTACACACAAGTCTCAGTTATGAACAAGGAATTCCTGTTTGAATCCATGGTAAGAAACAATGTGCTCACCCTTTGAATAAAGAGGACAAATGGCAAGATGAGAGAGAAAAGCTAAATTTTGGGAGTGCTCTAAGAAGTGGTAAGATTTAGATAAGGACTGAATGTGTGAAACAAGGAGTGGGTGGTGTTACTGGTGCTGCTTAGCTTAGGAGCAGGAGTGACTGGGGGTATAATGAATGCACACCTACCAGGGTTGAGAACAGCCCAGGAGAAACCACCAACAAAATCTCCCTCTCTTTCTTGTCCACTAAATTAGGCATTTCTATGAGCTGTTGTTTTGCTGGCCTGTTTTTCAGCAGAGGGACCTCTCAGAGGTGCAAAGTTTACCCCTGAGGATCCATTTTTCAGTGCTGATTTAAAATACCCTGATTTGAGGAGCAATCCAGCCAGTTAACACGTTCATTAAACAGCCCGATGAAACCAAATGCAATGCACGTGCAAACACCTTTAGCCCACACAGGTTAAGCAGTTTAACGAATGCATGCACTTCAGTTTTTGCAGTGTTGCCCCAAATCCAGCCAACTGACACTTTGCATAATTGTCTATATGCAAATTGAAAAAAAAAATCATTCGCTACATAATAAACTAAAATATGTAGCTGTTTTCTCACAGGTACGTGCTCTCTATAACTTCCTCAATAAACCACATGGTTTTGACTCAAGGTCCGTGTCTCACTATGGCAGCACTCCTACTCCTTATATGTGCCACCTACACGTGGGCTCAAATTAAATGTGTAAAATGTTAAATATAGCCACATAGGGAACCCAAAACGTGCTCCAATGTGTTCTGATTAGAATGCATCAGAGCCAGGGCTGGATCAAACCCTTTAGTGGGCCCTAAACAAGCTCATGGGCCCTTGCCCTAGTCGATGCCCTTCCCCCCAGCCCGGCACTGCCGCCTGCTGGGAGTGGGGCTCAGAGCCATGGCTAGGAAGCAGCCGCTGCAGTGGTGAGGCCAGTGGAGGGGAGGGAAGGGAGGCAGATGGGGCCATTTGCACTGCCGCTGCAGAGGGAAGGCCAGGGGTCCCCGTAGCTCAAGGCCCTAGCCATGTGCCTAGTTTGCCGGTGTGTTAATCCGGTCCTGATCAGAGCAGACTCAATTAATCAAATCTGGTGGAGTATTCTAATCAGAAAGCTCCAGTGTGCTGCAGCATCTTCTGTATTCAGCATCCCATACTTCAAAACGGCAGCGGGGCATTTAATTAAAGCTTATCAAACAAGCTTTAGTTAAAGCACCCCCACCACCATTTTGAAACACAGGCCACTGAGTACACGAGATGCTTCAGGCATTTAAATTAGAGCGGCTCCTGAGAGCCACTTTAATTAAAATGCTCCCCCTGCCCCAAAGCATGTGCATAGGTACCCATAATTTCAGGTAATCGAGGCAAAATGTTACATGGGTGTGCGCACGCACAGATGCGCATGCACACACACAATCGGTTTAATCAACCTATTCAAAGGAAATGACTTGAATTCAGCAGGCTATGGGGCTTAAGGGCTCACATTAATTATTTGCCTGAAATCTATTTTATATATATTATACTGACAATAGCAAAGTCCAGTAATCGTGATTTTTTTAAATTGCCCCCTTATTGTTATCTTAACACTTTGTCTTGTTGGCTGACAATAGGCAGAGCTTTAAATAAGATGTAGTTTAAGTTGTGACTCAGAAATCCAGTGTTTAAACATTGCCAGCCCTTGGACAATTTTATCTGCTCGAAACAGGTGTTCCGAATAATGTGCTCCTATTCTTCATTATAACTTTGCATCTTTAATGTTCAGCCATCTTGTATACTTTGAACCCAGATGGATTGACATTATTCTAAAATACTGGATATTTCCTGTTTTCAAGTCATATTCAATAGGAGTCATTTTCATTATTATTTCATGACAAATTGACAGCATCTGCATTTTTATTTTTTAATATCATGTTTTACACATCCAGAAACCAACTATTGGGACCTGGAGAAAACTCTATGAATAATAGCGGGAAAGGCATATTTAAACTGCCTGCCTTTAGCTATTGCCAACATAAAAAATGTACTCCTTGAGGGTCAAATTTTGAGGTCAAATTTATTGACATAGATCTACAGAAGACAATGGAGTTACTCCAGACTTACTGAATAAGCTAGCCCCTTGCTTGCTTTAAATGTTGATTGAGAACAGCAGGAAATGATACTAAGGAGAAATATCACCCTGCTCACTGCTATTCTCATTGTTCTGTCTTGCAGTAGGGTGGCTGGCAAGATAAATTCCCTTGGGAATGGTGCAGAGGACCATGTTGTCCGCTCCTCAACGTGGCATGATAAGTACCATAAGGCAGTGTTTCTCAACCGGTGGGACAGGATGCGAAGGTCATGTAGGTGGGACTTCAAATCATTGCCAAGTTGAAAAAAATAAGTTGTTTGCACTTCAAATAGATGAGACAATAGATATTTTGAACAGTGCAATTTTGTGGGGCTTTGTTTTTATCATAGGGGGAGCAGAGTTTTTGGACAAAATGGTCGGTGAGACGCAAGGTGCAAAAGGTTGAGAACCACTGCCATCAGGAACGGTCTTTGAGTGTGTCCTCACTCCTTTTTCATGAGTATATGGGACAGCCAAGACAGAAGGAAAGCACAAGTAGGCAGGCTGGAACGGAGAGGAGAGATCAGCCATGGTGACAGGTGAGTTTTAAACTCCGCTTCACAGAGCCTCTACTAAAAAACCAGCTTTGTTAAAACTATTTGGAAGAGGTGCCAACTTCTCCCTTTGCTATGGCTCTCAACCAAAATCCATTGAAGTCAATCCAAATGGTTTCATCAACCTACTGGATAGGATTCTCCAGGGCCGACAGTGCATGGTTCAAACACTATTTCAGCTGAACTAGTAGATGGGAAATAATCCTGTAGAGACTGTATTTCTGGGTATGGGAATGGTGGACAGATGAGCCTGCAGAGACAGCATCGGGCATTATTTTGTTTCTGTACACATACACAGCATACTTTCTCTTCTGTTACTAGCTGTGGATGCTCACATGGTGGATATGACCTACACATGCAGTGGGTGTTGCTAGTAATAAAGATACTGTTGCATTAATTTAATTATGCCATTTCATTTTCAGTTGGAGCTAAGACCCATTATTCCTGTTTGTCAGACAATTTGTACCCATGTTTTTGTGCTCACAAAAAGATTTGTGGGTGTGAATACCAGTAAATGCACCCTCTGCCTAATGATCTGCACCTGCCAGGAGGTATTAGAGTTGCATCTCCTCTTATTTGTGCCTGAGAATGAATATTGGGTGAGAACATTGAACAGCATACACTCTGCTCACAAAAGAAGGTAATCTTCTCTGAAAGCTGCGTCTCGGGACCTGTGCTTCAAAACCTCTTCTCACTTCAAAAGCCCTTTTTGGCTCATCCATCTGAAATGAACTGATATACATTTGATATCACGGGTTCATTAAGGTAAAAAAGTTGCCTCCTTTTTTTCCTGACATGGGGCTCTTCCTTTCATCATGGTTTACTAGATAACAGACCCAGCCCTTTAATTTCCCACCTATACTGCTGCAAAGAAGCATCTCTTTTCTATGCACTTAATTATATCAATTTAATTCTCCCTGCAGAACAGGAACTCCCTGGCAGCAGATGTAAAATTCTAAGGCTCCAGGACTAATGCGTTGTATCTGAATGAGGAAAGTCTAGTGGATGAGCTCATACTATTCAGAGGATGAATAAACCTTGTTAACTTGAATCTTTCCTCCTCTCTCCACTGCTGTGTGCTTTCTTGATACCTGGAGTTAATTTTCTTAAAAAGCCAAGTCTCTGAGGAACTTACAAGTCCATCAGATATTGCCAAAGTGCTTTTGGAACGAGTCCTTTGTACCATTTAAAAGGCAAGCATAAATCAGGAACAGAAAAGTATTTGGATTTTGTAGGCTGTATTTGCTTTCTTGGGTGATAATTAACATCCCTCCAGGTCAAGTATCAGGTTCAGTGTTTGGAATCAAGTATCAATTATTCACTGTTTGAACATCTCAAGTAGCCAAGTTGCTGGGGAAGGGGGGAGAGGAGACAACAGATATTATCTGGCCTGGCGTTTTTATCAGTTGTTTCAGTAAGGCAGGTCAGCTTTTAAGAGACCCTAAAAGAAAGCAAAAGGATGTGAACTGTGGTATGGGGTGGCCTCCCTAGGGGACAATACAGTGAACCAGTGTAAGAGATCTCCTTCTTACTAAAGATGAAAAGGTTGGATTGTTTCTTCTGAGAGAAATACCCTCAGGAGGGGGAAACAGGACTTTCTGATAAGCCCACACGGTTTGAAGATCTGCAGAGTGGACAGTGCCCAACTTTGGGCCCCTTAGCGTTCGTTGGCCAGGTGATAGATACGGTCTTCTTCCCTCATGGAAAGATGGTTCCCTTGAGAGCCGTCTTGCATCCTTTTCACCCCCAAAGTAGAGGGCCAACATTGCCTTCTGGTTGCAATAATATCTACAAGGCTTTCTGGCAACCAAGTCACCCAAGGTTCAAGAGGACCCCACTGAGTACAGGAGTTAGTCACCTATTTAGCCATAGCTTTTCCTTCTCCGCTCCCTCCCCAGGTACTGCAGAGCTGGGATTTGGAGTCCCAGGCTCCTGGAACTCCAACCAGGAGGGGTCTGGCAGCCTGGGAGAAGGGGGTCAGAAAAGCAGGTATCAGAGTCCTCCCATCCATTTATTCACAGGGTTTGCCACCCACAAGTGGAACAGCAGCAGCCTCAGGCCTACAATTGAGGTAGCTTTCTCTTTTAAAGCAAAATCAAGTGCCATACTCAGAGTCTTCAGGATCAAACACTTGTAGGAGTGTGTTGTCTTTATATTTTAGATTCCCACAGAGACATCCGACTCGTTCATGCAACTGGTCAGAGGCACAAATATTTGCTGGGACAATTAAAAACTAACAGTTCACTGCTGTCCAGCAGGGTTTTCATCCTAAAATGAAATGGAAAAAAAATTTGAAAGCTCAAAGTTTTGCAGGAGAGGAAAACTGCTTCTTATCTAGTCCTATGGGGTCACCTAACCCCAGTTGTTTTCCTGCCTAGAGTGGGCGGGGAGGGGGGAGAGGGGTCATTTCCAAATATTAATTTTGATTATAACTCAATAGCCTTCTAAATTACTAGCAGTTTCTTTTCTGTCATAAATATTTAATTTCCACTGCATTTTATCTCCATGCCAACTGCACGAGTGTGCAGTGATGTATGGTAGAATAACTGGCATCTTTAATGATCTAGTGAACATATTTTCTTTCGAGGATATCATCCTCGATCCAGATGTTACCCAGCATAATATTTTCCCTTGTATAGAATTAGTGGCCATGGTTGACTGAACTTTTTCTTCCTCTCTTTCTCCATCTAGCAACAGCAGACCTCAGGAGGACACATCTTTATAGCAGGGACTTCAAATCAGACCTAGCTCTAATTGGGATCAAAAGCCCTCTCTCACCCAACTTCACCATCAGAAATCCTGGTTTGGCTCTATAGAGCGTCTAGCCCCGAGCATCTGCCCGAGTACCCGAGTGAGCTGGAGGGCCCCAGGAAAGGCAGCATTTCATATTCTCTCTCTGAGCAGAAAGAGAGCTTCGAGTCAGAGATGCTTCCTTTACAAATGCAGGCAACAGCTTCAAAACCCTCCTGCTCACAGGTTTTTTTCAGACCAGAAAACATTAGTGTGATCATCCAACCTCCACTTCTGCCCAGCATGGAGTTTCTGGGTTTTTTGACCTACCGATTTCAGCCACCACCAGAAAGCCTAGTCAGCTGATCTAGAGGCATAAAGGAGTAAGTCTGTTACCATAAGGAAATACCCACTGAGGAACCTCACAATTAGCTGGGGGAAAGATAGCTCAGTCAGCATGCCCATGCATTGAAGCTCCTGATGTCCCCGAGACAGAAGATACCTGCTCAAAGTGTAATCGAAGAGGAAGAAAGTGAAAGATAAGGCTGGGTATGGAGGATGCATTAGGAAACTTAAGGGTGAGCACTGGTGAAATTAGTTTAGTGGTAGCCATTAGGCCTGTGCAAAGTGGCTAGTATTCACTTTGGATTTGGCCGATTCGGGGGACAGCGATTCAATTTGGTGATGTGAATCACTGTCCCGATTTGATTCGGCTGAATCTGATTCAGAGATTTTTTTTTTTCTTAAAGGGCTGGAGCTGGTCTGGGTGGGGCACCTGTGGGGGGGCTGGGGGCTCATGCAGTGTGGGGCAGTGGAGGGGGCAGCGGCCAGAGGAGCAGGGGGGCTGGCAGGGGTCCCCACCATGGTCCCCTCCCCTGCCCCTAGTACTTACCAGCTTGGAGTTGGCTGCAGCTCCCTGCTGCAGCCACTGAGGACGGCCCAAAATCAAAGCTCTCTGAATCTTTTCCAAAGATTCAGAGACCTTTGAATTGATTTGGACCTTTAAATTGGTCCCCCTATTCGATTCGGAGATTTGGCCACCCAATCAGGCCAAATTGAATCACCACCCGAAGCTTCGCACAGCCCTAGTAGCTGTCTTTCACTCCCCAGGGTATTCAAAATAGCACCAAGAAATGCAGGAGATTAGTAATGAAGTGGTAGGGGAAGCTTGATATAAGGGCCGAAGAAATGCAGTTTTGTTCAGGTTTTAGTGAAGGAATGCAGGTAACAGAGAAACTTTAAAGAGGCATAAGGGAGAGCTACAGGGACAGAAGAGGGTGGCAGATACAAGTGACCACTTCATGGGACAGGTTTAGCTGAGCACAAGGGGGATAGGTGCGGGGGGCAGGGGGAGAGGAGCATGCACACGCAAAGAATTGTCATTTTGAAATCTTACATGACAGTTGCAGGAAGAGTCAAGCTTATAGTAGGTGATCCACATCCTTTTCCTGTGCATTTTTGCTGAGAAAGCACCCATTTCTACAAGTCAGGGCAGTTAGAGATACCCAAGGCACTTCTTTATGGTGTCTGAGTGAATTCAAGCTGCCACACTGTTAAAGTCCCAAGGCTGCAGGGCCAGGTGAGTAATATTAGGCACTGGAATAGCAAAGGCAGGCTATGCTCCTGAAGTCAGACCTGGAAAGCTGGTTGCTATCATGAGACATTGTTTCAGAAGGGTTAAGGAAAAACTAGGAGTTCAGAGTTAGCAAAGGACACCTTTCAGAGCCCCCACAAAAGTGATCTAACAACCTCTGGCATCAGCTTAGAGGCAGGCAGGAAAATATAGAGCAAGGCCAGAACCTCAGCTGATGTAAATGGCTGCATTGATTTGCTTTACCAACTTGCTCCAGCTGTGGACCTGATCCCTAGATCCTGCAGAAAGCTATATAGCCATGTGCATGCATAACTGGAAGGTCTTCCTTTAGATTTCTCTTTTGGTTTTATGGTCTGTCTCTTACATAACAAATATGAGCCATCGTTGCCAACTCCTGGCATCAAACTTTTTTTTATGCAGCTCTGTTTCTTTATTAAAAAACAAAACTGGAGAGAAAGTGGTATGTCTTGCTAACATCTGTAATAGATGTTGGGTGATTGCCTTCAGGATTGAGAGAGCCAAATCCTAGGGCTTCAGGATACCCGTCTATTTTCCACCTTGCTACATATTTTAAAGGATTGGCAATTGAAATATAGTAAATGATGGCCTTGCTTATTTTCCCTCAACCAGATATTCCTCTGCAGATCAAATTACAAACAGCCCTGTGAGTTCCTGACATGGCAAGATTATAAAACACCTGCAAATTGTCATGCCTTCTGTGCTGTGAAATCTGACAATTTAAAAGCTTCCAGCCTGGTCCAGGGAATGATGGTTTTTGATGCCCTGTTAAAAAAACACACTTCCATCTCCGCTCTGCTAGGTATTGAGGAAATGCATGAAATCTGTAATCCTGCAGATGTGAGAGCATTGGATGACTGACTGATTTCAAGGGCACTAGCAGTGGTGGTTTGCACGTCTTGAGTTGATTAATAGGTAGTTTGCAGTGGTAGGATCATGGCTATATTTTGTAGTGTTGTTCTATTATTAACTATTTAGGGAGTAGGAGCCTCCGGCAACTTGGTATTAAGCCACCAATTCCCATATTTATCTGTGCCACCTGGGGATTAGAACAGTTGCTGCCACTCTGGAAAAAGCCAACCACAAGGCAGGAAAAACAGATAATGAATGCTTGATCAAAACCTCTTTTGTTCTTTCCGTTGTGCAATAATGGTAGCCGGAGATGTTTTCTAAACAGGAAAGCTCGGCTCAGACACTGGAGTCTGTACTCCACATAGCATAGGTAGAGTAAGGGGGGTCAGCCAGGGCTGTGAAGGCCTGTTTGATTAGGGGATTGAAGGCAAGGAGAAGCCCCCTATTTTGTGACTGCAGTGCCTTTTGAGAGTGCCATCCAGAAACAAGTCCTGTCTCCCCACTCCATACACACCAGCCCCAAAGTAAAAGAGTTAAGCTGCCCTGATGCATGTCACCTGCTTAATGCCACTGTCAAATAGGCCAGAGATGGAGAACCACAGGGTAATGGTGAAGGGATTGTCTTCAGGGTGGCTTCACTACCTCCTTCCAGCTCTGGAGGGTGCAGGCAGGTGAATGAAATCGGGCTTCTTTCCCCCATGATCAAACATACACAGATCTCATGCTCCAAGTTGGACACACAGATTAATTTCAGACTCTCTCTTTTCTCAAAACCTCTGTTGCTCTTAGTGCTAACCAAGCCTAGAAAATTGGGCTGAAAACACAACTTCCAGAAAGGGCTGATTAGCTGAGGAACTGCCATTTCAGCTGCCATCAATGCAAAGCATACAGCTGCAGTGTGGCTCTAATGCAATCTTAGGCAAATTGTGCTTATATGATTAAAAAAAAAAGAAATTAGATGGGGTGGCAGGCTAGTGTTATAGGGGAAACCTAGGTTTATGACCCTCCAAATCACCCAGTACTTCCCTCCCTAAAGATCATCACTTTGGTGAATATAGGAGAGAGAAGTTATGGTGGGGAGGGGATGGTGGTACCCAAGAGCAAGCTGAGGCTTAGCGTGCATTGAGGACATACCAGGTAATAACAAAAACTCCACTCTTCCAAATCTCTTTGTAAAACAAATGCTCCAGATGGCCTGAAGTGAGGACCTAGTTCACTTAGGAAGTAAGACCTATTTTAAATACATCATCCTAGGAACAAGTGCAGTTTTCCTGCATTAGCACATGTCATTCAACCGTTATGGGCTGATATGGCCAGTCAGATCAGAAGCATCAAAGAAATGCTGCACCCCCTTCCTCCACCTTAACTCTTCTTATTGCCCACATTAGCAGTAGGCCTGACCCGAGATCTGACCTTTCCACACTTTTTGTATGCAAAAAAAAAAAAAAGAAAAGTCTGCTGAATGAGATCCTGTAACACAGAGCTGAAATACCAGCCCATTGCTGTGACTGCATGTACAATCATGGGTTTGCCCAAATACCAAACCAAGTTTTTGCATTTTCACTGAAATGCTTGTCAGAGGCCAGAGGTATGCTCAGTAGCTGTTAATATGCAAAACCTATAGCAGGGGACCTCTTGCATGGATGTAGAGTAGTTGAATCAGCACATGACATCATAAAAATTTTGCTTCTCATACATTTCTGGAACCATCACATCTACACCAGCACTACAGCCCTACCATAAAGATAAAAGCTACATAATGTCTGTGCAGATAATAAAACTGGTAAGGGGCTCACTGTAGGACTTCTGCACTGCTTCCTGTCCCAGGCCCCTCAGGGCTTACCTTCATATACTCTTGACTATGAACACATCCATAGTTCACTGAACTATCCACTAGAAAGATGACAAGACAATTGAGTTTAGGCCAAATTTCTTTGACTTTGATGAATTTCTTGCATGGCTTCTGCATGAAAATGTTGGAAAGCAAACACTGGAAAAACACTAGACCCTACATTTTATTTGCTATGCATGCTTATTTTTTAGGTGATATAAAAAGTGAATGCAGTCTGGAATGAACAAGGACATTTTTTTAAATTAGGCTTTTATTTTGAATACCGTTATTAGTCATGGAAATGTAGGGCTTGGAGGAACCTCAAGAGGTCATCTAGTCCAGCACTTTGCTCAAGACAGGATATTTTCTTGTCTCTAATTATTCTTGATTATCCGTGAAATGCACTCCTCTCCCTAACTGGAAAAAAAAATCTGAATCCTTTATGAATCAGAGGGAACGTGGTAGCACGGCAGTAGACTAAACCTGCTAGAAGCTCTCAAGAAAGATGTTCAGATCTTCTAGGTATAGTTAATGTCTGCAGGTTGATTTTTTTTACAGAATCCAAGTGGCAATTTAAAGCAAATTGCTACAGTTTAATAGTTTAGCAGGATGTCTTGAGCAGTATTAATGTGATTCCAAATGTTGTCTTTATTTCAGCATGAATAAAATATAGCTGACAGTGCTCTGTTTGTGTGTCAGATTTAGCTGGTACACATGGAAAAGTCTTAAAGGGTTGGGTTTTTTTCCAACTCTGAAACAAAAAAGGAGAATCTGCAGGTGAAGATGGCAGGAAGCAATGAGGCCGAGGGTAGAGACATGTGACATGCTTCCTGTGGAACAATTTGTTCCCAGATATTACTCTTTAGTACATTTATTTTGTGGTAATGAGTGGACCTATAACCAGCTTGCCCCATCTGCCTGGTGGGAGCGATTGCTATTACATCTGACCAGTGAAACAAAGCAGCAGGTTTTCATTGAAATAATGGCTGATCCTATGGATTAAATTCACCCTGGGAGCAGATACACCCCCACCTCCGTGTAATTTATATTGGTATCGTATTCTGTGGGAGAAGGGGGTGTAATTTCTCCCCCCCAGAATCAGTTTATTCCACAGTAAATGTGTTGTGTCCAGATCTTCAGTACTTGGTGGTGTTATGTTCACAAATGCACCTGCTACTTATTCTACTTTTGCTTTGCCTTCCCTTTTGTTCCAGAAGCCACTGAGCTAATCATTTGGAGAAAATCATGGTTTTTACTAGGAAGCCCTCTTTCGAGTGGTGAAAAGTGCCCTGGTTTAATTATCCTGACATTACCACATTATTTAATCCTTTCATCCAGTTCTCAGAATGGTCCTCTCATTCCCACTACGTTATTTCTATTATTGGAGATGGAAATGGCATTATTGAGTGAGGTTCCTTCTTCTTCTCCAGCTATTACACATGGCTTTTTTTTTAATTAGAGTTTATAGGGGAGGGTTCATTGGTTTACACTATCAGCGTGCTAAGATTTCTGACTCCCACCTCATACAAAAGGAATAGAAAGGGCTGCCTGCATTCTTTACATTGAGGGACATTACATTTATTACCAAAGTATCCCGTTTAATCAAAATATGCCTAGGAAGATTATAGATTCCAGCTCTGAAGACCATGTTTAAGTTCTTTGAGGAACGCATGTGTGGGAGACCTTCTCCAGAGAGAAAAAGAGACAAGAGAAGAGACTAAATGAGAATGGTGCATGAGACCCACAGCAGTGTTTGCCACAAGCTCTACAAGTATAAAGATAACACAAAATGCAGGGTGCTAAAGGATAAAAGCCTTTGAAAAACCCATCTCCCTTATGAGAAACAGTCATGCAGTCCTGATTCAACCCATGTCAAAGAGGACCAGGTGGGTTATATGGTCCAAGAAAATCTCTTTGTTATGGGAAGGACTAAGGGCCAGAGGTGAGAATTTGCTGTCATTCACTGCCTGATTTCCCCCGGAGTGAGAAGCGATTCAAACCCCAGACATTTTGCTGACAAGTCTGTATAACCTGGAGTAACCATTGAAACCTGGAGTAGCAATTTTACACCTGGGCAACCTGAGCCCGTAACTGGTGGGAGTAACTACCATGCATGTAACTAAAGGATTCTGATTTGTAAGGGTTTGCCACAATCTGTGCAAGTATAAAGATAACACAAAATGCAGGGTGTTAAAGGATCAGGCTCAGTGGGTTATGGGCACAGCTTCGCCATCCACTGAAGGAGTGAGTAATAGAAAGGGGGAAGGAAGAAAAGCTGCTTGAGATTGCACCGGAGACAAATGAAGCAATGTCATCTCCATTTCCAGCAAGGAGGCACTTTAAAGTTTTCTAATTGCTTGATGTTGAAAAGACAGCTTAATTAGTGGTCAGAGTCGTAAAGCTTCACATACTGTTAAAGCATGCTTGAAAGTTGCTATAATTAGCG